CCCTTTTTGGCAAGTTGTAGTGCCATTGGTCACAAATGTGGCTTCAGTATCAGAGTAAACAGGAGTTTCCCCATAAGCGTGTCAACACAACACTTGTTCCCTTATCTCAGGGAACCGAGGTTACGAAGTTTGGTTAGCTGGTACAAAAATCTGCAAAAAGGGCGGACTGCTTTATGGCAGCAACAAATTCGGTAGTGCTATATTTATGACAGTGAATTCCACTCACTTAACTGTAGGGGGCTTTTACAGTTGCTTTAATCAAAAACTATGATTATAAGAGAATTATTTCTTCCACCTCTCAAACGACTTTCCTTTTTGCTGACGTCACAAAGCCCTCTTCATTTTTTAATTCCTCCACTCCAGCCACTGGACTTTATGATCCATTCATTTTCAAAAGCCCCTCCCAAAAAAATGTTCTCACTGAATATCCTTTTTTCTCTCTGACATAAGTCAGATTGACTAATGTAAAATGGATTGTTAATGTGAGTTTAAGATTTTCACATTTAAACAAGGAAAATAATACTGTTAGGATCGAAAAGAAGATTGTGTATCTGTTGCGTACATGAGAGCTAATTCGCATTATGCTTTGCAATCCATTCTAATCCATTATGCTCTAAATATAACATGATTCCCCTTAATGTCTGAATTATTGTCCTCTGCCAGCTTCACATCAACAAAAATGGGGTAAATCAAATGATCACAATCCCTGCCAATGCATCTGATCTGATTAAACATACTGGAGCAACAAATATCAGCTCTGAGAACACAAAGCAGACTTGGATCTAATTTCAGCAAAGGCCTGGAACATCTCGGCAACAAAACATTCATACACCAAACAAAACAGCTGCCAGGAAACGTGTCAAAACACTAAACCCTTGCATATAAAAGATGACCTTTGAGCACATTCTCAAAGTGCTGGAGGTTTACATGACCTGACAGATGTAGATGCTGACTTATGTCTACATCATAATTAAAAGTGCACTGTGGAAACATGCTGGAGCACCATTTGAGCTTAGCTAGGATTTTCCATTTCGTCTCTGAGAGACCAGAAGGAATGCTGTGCCCATCCCTACCAGCACAAGATGATGTAACAATCTCCACTTTCAGCTTCCAGCCATGGTGGCAAAGAAGGGGAAAAATAATGGGTTCCCCAGAGACCTGCTGAGACAAAATAAAGTCCAGTATTTTAGGCCTTTCAGCAGAACAGTTTGTGTCAGTGTGAGCAGTGAACAAGGCAATGCTTAATCTAGAGCTTTTCAGAGAGGTTTAATAAATCCCTGCGTCTGTTTAATACCCTATTATCTTGACTATGAATTATCTAATTTCCATCTTCCTGTAAACATGCATGCCACATTTTTTGTGTCATGGACAACTTTTTATGTATTGAATTTATTTATAAAGTAGGCCTTCTTCATTTGATTAATCATGTAAGCCTGACCAGTTTGTTTATGTAAATCAAGTCAAATTAGATTCTGCATGCAGAACATGAAATTTGCAAACAGGTGCTTCTCTGATGGCACTGCCACATGTTTATTAAAGAAGTAGCGCACTAATTCTGTCATAATTTACTAATTCTCAAATATGGTTCCAAATGTTTATGCTGTTATTTTGTCTGTGTAACACAAATAGAGGATTTTTAAAGAATTTTCAACCTGCCCTAATGTCTATGCACATTTTGGATATAGTTCAAAATTGTGGCCCTGCTACTTTTATGTCAAAATGTTGTTCCTTTTTGGAGTTGGCAGACGTGGTTATCATGAACTGTCAGCTTTTTGTGGCGATGTTTAGTGTCTGCAGGTTATGTGGTTTCTTTAATAGCTAGATGGCGACATGTGACAGTCTTTTGTTTATTGTAATGAGCTATTAAATCATTTTCAGCCGATTCGTTAAAAAACGCTGATTCAATCATTTGATGCAGGGAACTGGTGGTGTGTCACGCTCGCAGTTGCGCTGTTTGGCCTACCAGAACTTCGCTTCCATATTTTCTCGTTCGAGACAAACAGTTTTGGCCTTCAGTGTTTTTATTATAGTGAATGTTTCTGTAAGTTGCATAATTAAACCAGCAGGTGACGACAAGTGACTGTAATTTGTAAAGTGACTATTATTAGCGAGCCACTGAATCATTCTCAACTGAGTTATTCAAAAACAATGATTCATCTTTTTTAGAGTGTAGCAACTACCCAGAACACCATAGAGACCACCTAGCAACCACATGACAACCTGCTAAATATAATTCAGAACACATTTGCAACCACATAGTGACATCTTGGCAACCGTAGCATCAAGGTGGTGAGTTGTACGGTGCAAAAACATCTCTGTCTGGATTATAGTTCACTAGCAAACCTCAAGGTTTTGAACAGACACTTAGCATCAGTCCTACTCTTCTCTCTCCTAGTTGAAGTGTTTATTTTTAGGTCATGTCTACTACTGGTTTCTTGACCAAAGTCAACCTAAAGGCAGTTATTTATAGGATTGCACATGTTTTGAGACACTGGATAACTAAACACTGAATAACTTTAAAAACCTTTTGAATTGTCAAGTTAACTATAGGATTAAATCATTTTCATCTGCCTCATAAATACTGGTGTAAGCAGCAAATTGTGCATTTGATTGGTTGGAGGTCTGATCAGTCTTCATTTTATGACATGCCTCCTTCTCTGCACTAATTTGATGAGTCTAGTAATTATTGCAAGCAACTGCTGATGTAAAGATCGGGTTTAAAGCCTGTTGTTCTGTGCTGAAGAGATGAGAGAGTTATATTAAAGTACCTGCATATATAAAAATATACAGTACAATGCAAAAGTCTTATACCATTAATATTTTCACCAACAAAAATGGTTTTAAGTCAGTTATTTCTCTTTTGCTGTAGTGTGTCAGTAAGAAATATCAGTTTACATTTCCAAACATTTCTTTTGCCATTAATTGGAATAATGATTTTAGGCCTTTCAGCAGAAAGGCCTTATGCACAAGCAGTCTGACAGCAGTCAGTGCTCCACTCAAAGATCTGATCTTACCTTCATCCAGTTTTGACCTTATAATTCCAAGGCGACTATATATATATATATATATATATATATATATATATATATATATATATATATATATATATATATATATATATATATATTTATATATTTA